GCCCCCTCCGAAAAAAGGACTGCTGAGTAAAAACCATAAATGATATCTGAAAAATTATTTTTATCTAAGCTACAGCTATATCTTGTCTTCAATTGGAGTAACTTTCATGGCTGTAGGTCATCTACAACCTGAATGGGAAGAGAAAGAAAAAGAAAAAAACGTTTTCTCACACCTGATCTTTTAATTGGGCTAGCTGCAGCAGGTCCCTCTCCCCCAGCTTTCTGGTGCTTAAAATGTCCTCCGAACAAACGACTGCTGAGCAAAAACCGTATGAGTTATTCAAAAAATTCTTTCACCGTGAGCGTCAGCCATCCTTCGACTCCAACTATGCCAACTTTGGTGTATGTGTGTCTTTCAGAAAAATATTTATGACGAGTTGAAAACACATAATGTCATTCGTTTTTCTCCCCACTGCTGCTCCAAAACCAATGAAAAACGGCTCTGATTTTGATCGACTTTAGGTCGGTCTGGAGGGTTTTTAAGGAAAAGTATTAATCCTACCGTAATTCCGAAGACATTGTGTGGGTCCAGAGATTTCAGTCTACAAACTGACCAAAAATGGTGACTCTAGCTATAAATATGTGGCCGTGAGGGCGAGTTTAAAATGTTTTTTGGTCTTAAAAAAACGGCTGCCTCACACTCTAGCTTTTCAGTCTCTCCACTCTAGAAGGGTGGATTTTGCTAAAACTTTGTGGCGCTTGAGGTCTGATTATACAAAAACCGTAGCAGTTATCAACATACCGTCTTCAGTTTTAAATAGACGAAGGATTTATCTACAAACTGAGCTTTAAACTGTTTTTCTACATGAATGTATGCCGACACAGTGAAGTGCTGTTTTTTATGCTTTTTTTTCCTCTCCCCATTCATTTCCTATGGGATTTTTTTTGCGACGTTTTCGCTAATAATTCGCGAACCTTCGGACTAATGAGAAAGTTTTATACAAGCACGCATCGCACCATTGGTCCCGACGCGTGTGCCAACTTTGGGCCCGATCCGATGAATGGTGCGTGACTAGTTACGCGCCGAAGTTTTTGGTGGCGAGGAGAACTATAAGCTATAATAAAAATAATACGCGGAATAAATATGTGAGATAGTAGTAGGTGGGCCATGCCTTCGGCATGTGGCCCCCCTAATAATACGCGGAATAAATATGTGAGATAGTAGTAGGTGGGCCATGCCTTCGGCATGTGGCCCCCCTAATAATACGCGGAATAAATATGTGAGATAGTAGTAGGTGGGCCATGCCTTCGGCATGTGGCCCCCCTAATAATAATACGCGGAATAAATATGTGCAATAGTAATAGGTGGGCCATGCCTTCGGCATGTGGCCCCCCTAATAATAATACGCGGAATAAATATGTGCAATAGTAATAGGTGGGCCATGCCTTCGGCATGTGGCCCCCCTAATGACATTATGTGTTTTCAACTCGTCATAAATATTTTTCTGAATGACACACAAACACCAAAGTTGGCATAGTTGGAGTCGAAGGATGGCTGACGCTCACGGTGAAAAATTTTTTTGAATAACTCATACGGTTTTTGCTCAGCAGTCGTTTGTTCGGAGGCTGTTTTAAGCACTTGAAAGCTGGGTGACAGTGAGCTGCTGCAGCTAGCTCAATTAGAAGCTCAGCTGTGATGAAACGTTTTTTTCTTTTTCTTTCTCTTCCCATTCAGGTTGTAGATGACCTACAGCCATGAAAGTTACTCCAATTGAAGACAAGATATAGCTGTCGCTTAGATAAAAAGAATTTTTCAGATATCATTTATGGTTTTTACTCAGCAGTCGTTTGTTCGGAGGGGTGCTTTAGCAGCAAAAAGATGAGTGAGAGGAGCTGCTGCAGTTAAAACAAAGGGAGGAGCAGGTGGGATCAGCCATTTTGTTTGTGCTTCGTTTTGGGTTGTGAAAGACCTACAGACATGAAGGTTATCCCAGTCTGAGACAAAGGATAGATGTTGCTTTCACTGAAAGAATTTTTCAAATAACTTTTACGGTTTTTGCTCAGCAGTCGTTTGTTTGGAGGGTAAGCACCTGGAAGCTAGCTGACAGTTAGCTTCTGCAGCAGCCTGCTACAGTGCAGCTGCTGAACTCTTAGTGTGAGGCAGCCATTTTTTTTAAGATAAAACATTTTAACTCGCCCTCACGGCCACATATTTGGAGCTACAGTCACCATTTTTGGTCAGTTTGTAGACTGAAACCTCTGGACTCACACAATGTCTTCGGAATTGCGGTAGGATTAATACTTTTCCTTAAAAACGCTCCAGACCGACCTAGTGTCGATGAAAATCAGCCGTTTTTCATTGGTTTTGGAGCAGAAGAGGGGAGAAAAACAAACATCACTATGTGTTTTCAACTCGTCATAAATATTGTTCTGAAAGACACACATACAACAAAGTTGGCATAGTTGGAGTCGAAGGATTGCTGATGCTCATGGTGAAGAAATTTTTTGAATAACTCATACGGTTTTTGCTAAGCAGTCGTTTGTTCGGAGCTGTTCCTCCCATTCAAAAAAGCCTGAGAGCGAAGGGACGATAGTGCTGCGCTTTTCTCTCTGTCACTGACAGGCTCGTTAAGCGTTGTCAAGGTAACCGTGCTTCAAACAGATTTTACCTCTGCTGTTTTAAACAGCACATATTAATCTAATGGAGGGTGAAAGCACTGATTTAACATTGGGAAATGGATACTATATGACTGCTGTCCATGACACTTCCCTTGCCACTCAACACTGATAGACTTTCAAAATAAGACTCCAGGGACCCTACAAAATAAAAGCCTCTATATTTTTTACATATATTTATTGCCCTATATGGCTCAACATTATGACCCAAACTCAACCCCATTTTAGAGAATAGACTCTAGGAGACTGTTTAAAACACACCCTATGGCAAATTTCAAAATAAAAGCCTCCCATTTCATCTTCATCTACTGCCCTAATAACATGGTAAAAAGAGTGATTTAACGATTGGAAAGTCATCAACTATCATTGCTGGGTCTGAACATTTTCTCTAAACACAACTCTGTTGGACTTTCAAAATAAGACTCCAGGGACCCTACAAAATAAAAGCCTCTAGATTATACTAATGCAATAATTGATGCAAATGGCTCAACATTATGACCCAAACTCTTTCAGGTTGTTTTTATTAGACTCTAGTGACCTTTTCAAAAACACACCCCAGAGCAAATTTCACAATAAAAGTCTCCCATTTACTCTGTAATACAGCAGCTATTCACCTAATAACATGGAAAACCAGTGATTTAACATTTGGAAATGGATTCTATATCACTGCTGGGCATGACCCATCTTTTGATGCACATCCATGATAGACTTTCAAAATAAGACTACAGGGACTCTACAGAATAAAAGCCTCTTCCTTATACACACTCATACATTCTGGCATATTGCTCATAGCCATTTTTAATTTCATCACTGCAATGGCTCTGAGCATGCGGGCGGAGCCCGCCATTGGTGATTTCATCACTGCAATGGCTCTTAGAAGGCGGGCGAAGCCCGCCAATGGTGATTTCATCACTGCAATGGCTCTTAGCAGGCGGGCGGAGCCCGCCATTGGTGATTTTTTTCATCGCTGCAAGGGCACCTAGCATGCGGGCAGCGCCCGCCAACTGCACTTTACCCACTGCGGTTCAATATGGACAACCCATATTACCCTTGTGCATCATATGCTGTGCACGTCTATTTCCCAGATTTCAGCACAAGTGGCACACAGCTCTCTTTGCCCATGAACTAGCCCTCTTTCCTTCCCTCAGCAGCCCTCAAAGGCGTAAGCAGTTGGTCTGGGGAGCCCCAATGTCACTTGCCAGGGCCGTATTGGCACAGTTACCCAGACGGGCAGTAGGTGGCCCCCCTCAAAATTTCTTTAGAAATTTTCTAGTTCAATATAATGCTGCATTAAGACATCTACATGACAATGATCTAGTGAGAAGACTCTGGTAGAAACTTCACAAATGTTTCAGTTTCCTTGTTACATCACTAGTAGGTGGTATGATCTTCAAAACTCGACATGCGCTAGCCTAAACCCAATATGCTTTACCTTTGCCATGTCTACCAACACAGGAAGGTTTTTGCTGTGTATATGAGAAGGGAGGTATTGCTTCAAACCTTCCAGAAAGCCTTCCACACTGGCACATTTCTGTGTCATAAATAAGGGTGTGAAATTTGTGATTTTAGATCCAAAACATTAATAAAACATAATTTTATTACAATTTTAACCCTTAATTTTACATTAACTTGATGTTGCCACGCAGGATTACACACTTTAACAACCCCATCTGACATTTTCACAAAACTGACCTCCTTTTTGCTTATGAGCAGCAGGGATGAAATTTTCAAAAGTTTGTTGAGAAGAAGCATGGAGGGTTTATTTCATTTTCAGTTGAACACTTGTGGAGACATTTTAGAAAGTTCCAAAGAAGCTTCCCCGGCCTCTAATGAACGAGTATGTGTGTGTTGTCACTTAAGCAAAGCCGGCATAATCCCGTAAGGGCGGATGAGTAGACAGACATGTGATGGCCCACTTGTTTCTAAGGTGGAGGGTGTTGGAGAGAGAGGGGGGCTGGCAGGCAGGCATTAGCAGCAGATGGAGAGGCTTTGTAGTATGTGTGGGCGTCTGGCTAATCACAAACACAAATTCAAAGTTTTGTTTGATGTTTCGTTACTGTAACTAAAGGTCTTATATGGAATGATGTTGCTCATTTGACGAGGTTGATGTCTCATTAGGAGCAGCACCAGGTTCTCTGTGGACTACACTAAATTAGCCGGCTTCCTGTCCTCTCCCTCACCCTGCTGTACCAGATTAAAGCCACAACATTATACCTGTCACACTTAGCGTTCATCAAGGACGGCCCACACACGCTCACCCACTTGTGCTCGTTCACTCGCTGCCCATCACAGGCGTCAGGTGTAGCCTCTGGTGTTTTATGGTTCTTTAATGGGTGGAGATGAGCGCCACCAGCAACACCAGACTGAGCCCTAGTCCTAATTTACTGCAGGTCAATGAGCCAAAGCGCTATGGCTCAACGCTGTCACTGGAGGAAAAGTGTGAACAGTCTTTCTTCCTCTTCTACTACTACAGGATGGAGGACGAGGCGGTGGTGGATCGCGGGGCGTCCTTACTCAAGCACCTCTGTGATGAAGAGGAGGTAGAGGGTGAGTTTACCTGTTCATTTTTACTCCAACTTATTTTAGATGGCATCATATGTTTGGAAAGCATATAAGCTATGAAAATCATTTATTTATTTTCAAATGAAACTCACTCATTGATAAAAGCAGGATGTTGTTGATACTTGTAACAGGAGCCAAATTGGCCCACTTCCTGCATGTACTGTACACCCTGGTGTTCACCTATTTAACGAGCTGGCATGATGAAGATGTAGAACACAGAGCATGTGATCCAGTGTTTACCTCACTAATCCTGCCATAGACCGACAGGACAACATGGAAGATGAAAAGAGCTGCTAGTGTTCTAATAATATAGAAGTAATCACTAAACCTGTTAAGAACTCTAATGAATAGGTAAAGAAAGACTATGAGACATTTGTCTTCTTTAGGTTTAAAGATTCCAACTTTTAATTGGACTGCATTCATCCTGTGGAGAAAATTACCCTGTGAAGAGGCATTTATCTAATATATCATCAATGTTGTCAAAACCGCTGATAAAATTGTATTATTTTTCTTTAGCTGTTTATACTCTGATGAACACTTTTAGTGAATCAGTTCTATGTTAATGTTGCCACAACTTTGAGGGTCATGATGCTGTTGAGGTTCCTACATGAAGCCCATTTCCACATTCCTGGCAGAAGCTACCGAATTTTATTTATTTATTTTTTGCCGTTTTTGGGCCGATTCTCCAGTCGTGCGAGAATTTTTTGATCGGGCCGACTTTCAGCCTGATTGCGCGTCGTGTAGTGTAGAGGGGGCAACAATGGGAGATTAATCTCTCATGAGCACCTCCTGATCAGGAATCGTAAGGTCAGGAGAAAATTAATAACGGTTTGAAATTCAGTCGCCCGTCAAGGGCAAATCGATCAGTGGGCAAACAAGGATTCTTCTTCTTCTTCCTTTCAGACGAAAACACAGAAGCATGGTGGTGAAGCGAGTGAAATGGAGATCTTTCTGTAAAATTGACAGACCATAGTAGCCATGTTTGCTCAGCCATGTCTTTGTCCAAATATGTCGTCCCCTTTTTTTAGGGCTTTCAGAACAAAATTGCATGAATTGCCGAGGCAGCGCGTTTCACTCCAGTGAACTTTATATTCCTCTTCTGCTCGTTCGGCTTCCAAATAGACGAGTCTGAATAACGCCATCTCACTGTGGAGCTGAGTGTGACTTGGTTTTTAGACGTACAGTGTGGCAGGTAGATCGCATCAGAGTGTCGTGTCACACAGTGTGAGAATATACATAGTGAGCGGTGACCTATTAAACCCTGCGGTTTCGTCATACCAGTGACGTGCGGTGAGGTTCATAGCTGGTGAGGCACTGACGTCATCAGAATAAGATTTGCAAATAGATGCATAGATTGACAGCAGTTTACAGGTTATGTTTCACTTCTGCATCCTTACACATACAAACTGTAGCTCACAAAACACACATTTCCTTAAAAAACAAAACAAAATAAATGTTATTACTGTCTTACCTTTACTTATAAATGAAGTCCATGCGTCGCTCCTTCTGCACAAAAACATCCGTCACTCCTTATCTTCCTTCAGTTTTAAAAGTCTCTCTGTCTCAATGGAGATCACTGCCAGGGAAGAAAGCCTTCCTTGATCCGTCCTGTTCCTGCTGTATGTTTTCAGTCTCTTGAGCACCCCCTGCCATGAGGCAAGAGAACTGCCTGCCTCACCTCGAACCTGTTCTCTGCCGTTTATAATCGCTCATTACACGAAACACGTTACACAAACACAGTTGGTGACAAAAACACTGTACATTATATACATAAGCTAAATTATTAGAAATAAGTTCACACATTAAATTTGTTTAAACCATTTTATTGACGCCGTACAGCACCATGCTCTCTCCGCTTTGCAGCCAGCGCAGAGCCAGGGGTTGCGCAATCCAAGGTGAGGCAGAGCTCGCTCACCGGCATCGCTTCCAAGCATTTGAATGGGAAAATAAGAAAATTCAGCGATTTTGAACAAATAAAAATCGAAATTGGTGAAGCTACATGAAAAATAAATATTTTTTAGTACAAACCACCGGATGAATATAACAATTTAAATTACTTTATGATTATATATTTTCTTTCTTTCCATGATGGCTGGTGAGGCACTGCCTCACCTGCCTCCCCTGACTGCACGTCACTGCGTCATACAGTGTGAGCTGTAGCTGCGTGCAATTATTAAAAATCGCTGGTTGTTTTACAAAAATTTACAAATTTGCGATGGTAGTACAGCGACAGCGTTTCCTTTGCATATTTTCTAAATAAAAGGATGACATATTGATAGAGCATAACACTTGCTACCCACAGCAGCGAATCTTTTGTTGTTGTGTTGTTTGGTTTATCCTTTGTAGGGAAATGCACCATATATGAATTATAAATGCTTTCGGATTCTCCTTTTCTGATTAACTCGAGTCGCATTTTTTTCTCGTCTTTTTCATTTTGTGAAGTGGCTGAGGCCAAAATGTGTAGTCCTAGATTCATTTTTAAGAATCCAGACACACTGAAATCCCTCCATAACCAGGCCCCCTTTTATCCAATATTTTTGCCATTAACTGGAGGTCATATGCCTTAATGTTGCTTATTTTTTATTTTATTCAGATACATTTATTTTTCCTGCTCTAATTCACTGGATTGAATTAGAACATCTTGAAGTACCTTATAAAAAGATTAGAAATATAAACAGTCAAATCAGTCCTTAAGACATATTCTGTCATTAAATCTAATAAGCTATTATAGTGCAATTGTTAAATCTTTTTGTTGTTGTTGTGTTTGCTTAGTGAAATGAAGCTCTCTCTGCCTGATATTGCTGTAGACTGTGCCCATTATGCCTTCATTACATGTTGTTTGGATAACTGCAATTCTCTGTATAGTGGGCTCGATCAAACCTCCATTCAACGCCTGCAGGTAGTTCAGAAAGCTGCAGCTTATTTAGTTACAGGTATGAAAAAGTGCAGCGTCCTCCAGTTAGCTACAGGATTCATTTTCAGATTTTATTGATGGTTTTTTAAATGGGTTAGTCCCAGTCTATCTTTGTAATATACTGTTGGTCCATGTTCCAGCTCAATCAACAAAAGGCCATGCCAAGATCTCAAGTGAAAACTGGAGGGGACCAAGCATTTGCCTTCAATGCTTCTTCCTTTACATATTAAAACAGACCAGTCACTTTGCATTCTTATGTCTTAAAAACCCTCGCATTTGCAGTATTTTTTAACTCAAGTTGAGCAGGTTCTTCTGTTATTTTTAATCTTTCTTACAATATAAAACAAATCAAATGTGAGTGCATTGAGGCAAATCTACCATGAAAAAATGAATAAAATAAGATACATTTTTCAGTTTGACTCCATTGTAGTCATTAGGGTCAACAAGCTGAAAGAAGTAATGACCAAAGTTGACTGGTGTAGATTTTGGGGGTTATTTGAAATGTTGAGAATTAAGCAAAGATAAGGAGCTCTGTTTATGATGTTTTATCAACCTATTAATTGTCTATTGTCGGTGGCTTAAGGAGCCAGACTGTTAAAGGCTTAAATAAAAGTTAGTAGAATAAAATAAATGGATATTTGAGAGCCTAAACAGAATTATTCACATTTAAATCACTTTTTAGAAAACAATTCAAAGAGTGCTTTTAACATTTGGAATATAAGATATAATTTGTAATTCCTTATTTTCTGTTAATTTGACCTTTTATTTTCAATGTTTGTTTGCATATCGCCTTCGATTAAACCCATACAAAGTGTAAACCAAAGAAAACCACTTAAGCTCTCTTAAAAAAAGAAATTGTTTTTAATAAGCATTAATTTAGGAAACAATAAAGGAATGCTTTAACAATAAAAAGTGAAATTTTCTGAACTGTTTTACTGTAAGATGACATGACTAATGAAACGAGAATTTGTTTGAGAGCATTTTTCAAATAAGTGTCAATTTATCAATTTGTCCTATTTTTATTATTTTTTTTTAACTTTGTCGCAGTTGGGTTATGTTTATAGTCCTGTCTGCTCCCAATGATGGTGGTGATCCTCATTCAGTTGTGGTTTACGTGGCGAAAATGTCAGCCAGCTGCTCTTGCGGCACGATTCTTGGTCACCGTCCAGCAGGTTGAACGCTTTGGCTCAGAGCCCATTTTAACATCCAAGAACATTGTGTTTTGTTATGCTTTGTCTGTGTTGGTACTGAAAATGTATCTAGCTCAGTTATCTTTGACATTAGAATACAAAAAAAACAGAGGCTTTTATAAAAAAATAAATAAAATGCATACTGTCCGATTATCACCTCTGATATAATAATGTCCCAGAAGCAAGTGTAGAACTGTATTTATTGAGGCTATTGCTGCATTGGTATGCTGTCAGTGGCCTGTAGTGTGTCCCCATCCTTCTTGTTGGGCTAAGGAGTTCCCAGTGCCTTTGTAGTAGCAGAAGGATCAGGCTGTACTGTTTCTTCTGGTGTAAAATCCACTGAGCTACACAAACCTCCCTCAAAAAACTCCATTTAATTTTATTCACTGCATGCTTACAGGCTGTTCTTCTTCCACCCCCTAAAAATAGAAGAGGAAGTCGTTCCACAAAGCTACCCTGGAAGTGTGCAAATCTTCCTTTCCAGAACCTCAACTTTACTGTTTTTACTTCTTCTCCTGCATCACCTCCTTTCTTTCACCGTCTTTCAGGATGTCCCACATTGAAAAATCAAGAAATCAACTTAAGTTAATATTTTTTTTGTCGGCAAAATGTTTTTTCTTCTTTACTGCTGTTTTGAAGATTCGACACATGGATTTATTATAACAATGCAAAATACCATTAAAAAGTCAATTTATTTAAATTGTTCTACAGAAGGACATATTCATGTGATCTTTTAAAGTATGTGGCACATAGGATTATATTTAGCTTTTTTTTAATTTAAATTATTATCATAATTAGAATGATTGTAGTTATAAGTAATACAGTAATTATATTGATACATTTACATTTATTTATAGAGCACTTCTAAAAAAAAAATCTAT